CTGTGCACTCTATTCTATGTACTATGTACTATGTGCTATATGTATGTACTATGTACTATATTGTATGTACTATGTACTATATTGTATATACTATGTTCTATGAACTATGTGCTATATACTCTGCACTCTATTATATGTAACGTACTATGTGCTATATACTCTGTACTGTATGCTATCCACTATGTAGTATGTACTATCATACTACTATGTTCTAGTACTGGGTGCTACGTTCTACGTACTCTTTGCAATGTACTCTGTACAATGTACTCTATCCTACATGCTCTTTACTATGTGCTATGTTCTGTGTACTGTGCACTTTGCCCTGCTTACTATATACTATCCTCTGTGAACTATGTCCTATGTCCTGCGTACTCTGTACTATGCCCTGCTTACTATATACTATCCTCTGTGAACTATGTCCTATGTCCTGCGTACTCTGTACTATGTCCTGTGTGCTATGTCCTGTGTGCTTTGTACTATCTACTATATAGTATATACTATATACTCTATGCTATGTACTATGGAGTATGGACTATATACTCTATGCTATGTACTATGGAGTATGGACTATGTATCATTTACTATGTGCTGACTAGTTACTATGTACTATGTACTATGCACTATGTACTATGTACTATGTTTGTACTATTTTACTGTTCTTATGTAGTCTATTTATACCCTATGCTATAAAGTACTATGTACTGTTCTTGCATAGTCTATGTAGTATATATACTCTTATGAGTCTATGCTGTACTATTTTACTGTTCTTACATAGTCTATGTATACTCTATGCTATAAAGTACTATGTACTATGTACTATGCAAAATGTATACTATCTACTATGTACTATGCAAAATGTATACTGTGTACTATGTACTATGCAAAATGTATACTATGTCCTATGTACTATGCAAAATGTATACTATGTACTATGTACTATGTACTATGGACTATGTACTACCATGTACTATGTACTATGTACTATGCACTATGTACTATACTACTATGTACTATGTACTATGTACTATGCACTATGTACTATGTACTATGTACTATGTACTATGTTTGTACTATTTTACTGTTCTAACATAGTCTATTTATACTGTATGCTATGACCTATGTCCTATGTTTGTACTATGTTTTCTGTACTTACCTACTATGTACCATGTTTTCTGTACTTACCTACTGTGTACTATGTTTTCTGTACTTTCTTCAATCCGAAAGCCACCGAATGTCGATGATCATGTTTTTCTCCCATCTGCTTGGCAGGAACGGACATGAAGAGGCGAGGGCGGAAACGGTCGTGGTCCTTGTCCAAGCGATCTGGCAGTGGGCTCCTCTACTCCGACTTTCAGCCCTTGGAAGTGGAGATGCCTGCCCGCGTGTGAGGAGAGGGAGAGGCATGCATATTTTTTGAAGGGCCCTGTTTTTTTTTCATATCTGGTGGCAAGCTCCTGTACTCGGACTTCCTGCCCGGTCAGGTGCATCCTGGTCTGGCCAGAATTGTGGTCAGATGCGTCCAGGAAAGTCCCATTGTGAGTATGCCCTATGCCCTATGCAGATTTTTCGAAGGCCTCCATCCGTCCGAGTTCACATCTGGCAGCAGGCTCCTATACTTGGACCTCCAGTCCGCTCAGGTACATCCTTGTCTGGCCGGAATTGCGGTCAGATACGTCCAGGAAAGTCCCATTATGAGTATATATATGCCGAATGCAGATTCTTCGAAGGCCTCCGCGTGCATTCACATCTGGCAGCAGGCTCCGGTACTCAGGACCTCTCGCCCGGTCAGGTACATCGTGTTTTGGGCAGAATTGTGGTCAGATACATCTAGGAAAGCCCCATTGTCAGTATGCCCTGACTCTCTTCCACCCCCCCCTCCATGCAAGTGGAGATGCCTCACCAGGCCCACTGGGATTTTTCCTTGATGTATCTGACCTCAATTGTGGCCAGACCAGGATGCATCTGACCATAATTACGTCCCCAGCTCATTCCAGAAAAAAGAAGTGACAGTGTGAGTAGGAGGGTGAGAGGTATATGCTGAGTTGAAGGCGTCCATGCGAGTCGATATCGAAGAGAGCATTGGGGTCGGTCGGTGCACTCACACTGGGACTTTGCCTCGATGTATCTGACCTCAATTGCGGCCGGACCAGGATGCATCTGACCATAATTGCGTCCCCAGCTCATTCAATAAAAAAGAAGTGCCAGTGTGAGTAATGCCCTCAGTGTGACAACCTAGCGAGTGATAATTTAGGAGAACAAAAGAGTCTTCGAACGAACTCCCAGTGAAGACTCGCTTGCTGAGTGCAAATTTTCGCCGAGTTCGCGCCTGCCGAGTGCGAACGCATCCTCTCAGCCACGTTTCGCCTAGTAGCAAGTCTGCTTTTTTTTTGTTTTTTTTGTTTTTTTTTTGTTTTTTTTTTTCCTGGGCCGCATATCAGGAGGCAGGCGACCATCCAGGGAGTGATGCCCGTTCCTCGATGGTGGCCTGCCTCCGGGGACGCAGTTGGGCCCGCACGGATTGATGGCTGCACCGCACACAAATCTCTGAGCGGCGGCGACTACGACAGAATTCGAACTCCTGCCACCACTGCTGCAAGGGCATCACAGAAAGATATGTGCCCCTCGTGAGGGCATTTCAAGGACCTACCGACGAAACGCCACCAGCCGTCCAGTAAGGGCATATCGGAAAGTTACGCCCCATGCTGACAGGGGCATGCGGAAAATTTCAGAGCCCCGAGGGGCACCACAGGGTAAGTCGGCCTTTACAGAGGCATGCCGCCTCCTCCTTCTCCTCCTCCTTCCCCTCCTTCCTTCTCCTCCTCCTCCTCCTCCTCCTCCTCCTCCCCCTCCTCTTCCTCCTCTTCTTCTTCTTCTTCTTTTGTTTTTTTTGGAGTGCTGTTACATTTTCCACCCACCCTTCAACGCGTCAGAAGTGCAGATTCAGTTGCGATTGTGCGTACTCAGGACAGCTCATTGCAAGCTCTATGAAGTAGTTTATCATACTCTTCACAGTGCTCTTCACAGTGCTCGTCGTAGGACTCTTCATATAGTGCTTTGTACTTGGTTTGTTGTTCATACATAGTGCTTCATGGTACTTTTCATAGTTTTTTTTTTTGTTTTTTTTTTTGTTTTGTTTTTTTGTAACCACACTGCTTCTACTATGGGGGGCAACAGTCCAGTTGGCTTATTACCAGCAAGCATGTTCTTATATCCAAGAGATAAGGGCGGGTGGGGGGAGCCGAGAAAGAGGATCAGGCCATCCCTTGTGGCACTAGCCCCCTAGCAAGGGGGAACTCTTTACTGGGCTTCCATTCGCCAGTCCGTGGCCTTCCTTAGGGGGTTGCCCTGCTGGTCGGGAGGCCTGCTAAAGCACTTTTCGTAGTACTTTTCATCGTTCTTTTCATAGTACTACACTTCATAGACTACGTTGTAATTCATAGTGTTGCATTGTGTAGAGTCTGTAGACGTCCTACAGGAATTGAGCGAGCCGGCAGAATGATAGTACATAGATGTCAGGCTCCCAGGGTATCCCCAGGTTGAGTTGTGAGGTCCCCGTCCTCGATCTATCTTTGGAATGCATTTTTCCTTTTTTGTAAATTAAAAAAAAGATAGTACGTACATGTAAACTGCTGACAATGAACAGAGTTCAAATCCTGAACCGAATCCATCAGATGGATGTGTCAACGTTGGGCGCTCAAAAAAGTTTTCAGATGCAAATTTCAGGTCAGATTGCGAAGTAACAGTGACACCCATTGCCAGCCTAAATCGATGGACTCGAAAGAGCACAAAGGCACAGGACTTGAGTTGGAACCGTGCCAGTATCGAGTCAGGATTATAATGGCCAACTCACAGTAAACTCACCCACCCACTCACCCACCCACCCACCCGTGCAGCGGAATCATCACGGGAATGGTACACTCAGTAGTGTATCGGGCTTTTTTTTTAACACCAGGAATTGTGCAGAAGACGAAGTCGACGCAAGAAAATCACAACCGATACAAAGCTCAGAAGCCATCAGCATCGATTGATGGTATCGATAATCCTGGGTGGTCCGCACTAAGGTACGGCAGAGGGGTTGGGGGTGCGCTGGGGTAATTGATCAGAGGAAGGAGGGATGGATGGGATGGATGGGGGTCTTCCGAGGGGTTACACACACACACACCAAAAAAAAAAAAGAAGTTCAGTCAACGACTGCTCCAATCAACCCTAAGATCCGCCAAGAACCGCTAACCCATTCTCGCCTACCGATGTCTCGGAGAGGCGTGGGAAAAGGAGGATTACCGAAGACTAATCGCGCAATTAATGCTACGGAATCATCGTAACTATTGATGCGACGAAAGATCACGCCAAAACCACAGGTGACCTGCTGGCCAACCGGAAAGCGAATTACTTCTCAGGTCAAGCCGGAAAGTCGTTGGTAAAAGAGGGGTACCTTTGAATTATCCCGAGGGTCTATTATCGAGTCAAAACCACACAACACTAAGAATAAAAAAARMAARMAAAAAAAAAAAAAAAAAAAAAAAAAAAAAAAAAAAAAMAACAAAAAAAACTTATGWTSSTAGGCCSGGSCTCMARGGGTCGAARGGTAGKAAAAGCAAGGTCACCACTCTYTASTAGCCTTTTTTAAAGWWTTTWTYTTTTTTGAACTCTCTAGTAGCCTGACTGCATTACGAGCCAAATCTCAAATCCACATCGTGGCCAGGACTTTTTAAACTCCAAAAGGAAGGGAAAAAACTCAAAGAGCCAACACCAAACGAAATACCGTAGCCCGGGCTCCGAGGGGATATCAAGCAACGACCAAAACAAACCTTCTCAGATCTACATAGGCGGTGGGCCTTGAAATCCTACCAAGGCGCTGTGCGTGATCTTGTGGTCAGGAATGAGCAAATCCAGCCCAATGTCTCACTCTGTCCGTGCGAAAATCTACGCAACACTCGTAAAATAAATCCTTCGGAAAATCCTTGAACTGGAGTTTTCATTTCAAAGGAAATGACCCACTGCACAATCTCGGATTTAACCGAGGAATTTCTCTCAATTGTGCGTTGATAACTACAGATGAAAGCGCTCTCTTGCAGCTTGCTCCCCCATCACCAAAACGACTGGCTGTTCTTTATCTCAATTCTCTCCGCGGTCCAGATGGACTTTTCTTTTCTTGACATCTATACACTTTACATCCCTAGAAATCTCAAATACCATGGTCCAGATGGTCCAGTTGGTCCAGATTTTGGACCAGATGGTCCAGATGGTCCAGATGACTGACAGTTTAAACGTACCGACCATACCCTCACTTCACATCCCAAGAAATCTCAAATACCATCACCCTGGTCGGTACGTTTAAACTGTCAGTACTTGGCCCAGCTATCGGCCGTGGAAAAACCTAGAGTAGAAATATTCCTAGTCGGATGAATTTGGGTGCTCCTGTGGTGGCCCGTACGTTTCATAAAACCGTGCCTTGTTAACGGGGCACGGCTTTAAGAAGTAGTGGTGGTTTGAGTGTCAGGTTCCTCGGTTAGCAATGGTGGAATTGTGAGAAGATGTGTCCGATTTGTGGTGTAGGCAAGTTGAAACCAGAAACAATTACGCGCACATCATCAGTCAACCTTATCCGAAATAAGTTGTTCTTTCGATTCCCCAGGCAACTCAAAAACGTATACTCGGCCCTGACACACGTGATGCACGTAGGAAGAGGGCTAGTGCTCTTCCTCATGGGAATACCTGCCTCTTGCTTCATCACTACGTCAAGGGCGAAGGTATTTGTCTGCTCAAGTACAAATTTGATGAATCGCCTGATATCCTCAATATCCAGTTTACACCAATGGTCATATCCCGCCTCTAGTTAGGCCAAATATTGTGCACCTTGTCCATGATGAAGTGCTGCGGTTTGCTGACGTGGTACTCCTACAACCAATCGACAACCAGAAGAATATTATAGGTAAGACGCTTAACATATCTTTGATGTCATATGTTCGAGAGACAATGACACCGCAGTGTCTCGAGCTCATCTTCTTGTTTACCCATGTCGACATATTGGTTAGCATAGAGGCGGTTTTCATGTTAAATTGTCAGCTGGCTGGCAGAAAAGAAAGCAGATGATTAAGTCTCGTAGCCACAACATGCCCAGTACGGATGGTGGGTTCCAGGAACGACGAATAGATGAGCTGGAAACAACCCCGTCCTTTTGTTTGGGAACTGCGTAAACTTGCCCGAAGGTCTGTTTCTTATCCCAGCGAGCAAACGGTAACAAGCTTCATTGTTGTAGTCCCAACTTCAACGTTGTCAAGACCTGTGTCGCCTTCTCTTCGACTGACAAGTAACCTGGATTCACAAGAGGTTGTTAAGGATCATAGTTTTATCATCGTACAAACAAGCTCATCATACCGTAGATGGAGCCTTACCCCCGGTGCTAGTGGTGTTTTCTCTTACCAGCACCTCTAGCACTAGTGAGGGTTGCTTTTGAAAAAAAAAAAAACAAAAAAAAAAACACATTATCATATCATAGTAAGAGAGTGGGGCATGTCACAAGAGTTGCCCAAGGATTTCTATCAAGCAATAACATAGAAATTCCCAAAATTGAATGATCTTTCTATTGTAAAATTTCGTTCGGAATTTCAAATTTCAATTCCATATTAAAAAATGTCATTTGACTTTTAAAATTTTTCGTCGTACATAAAAATTTTCCTTCCAAGAATCGAGTATCCCTTCTTATTTGAACTGCATGCAAGACATGGATTGAAAGTCTAGATGAGTTAATGAAATACTTTAATAAGAAAGTCATTCTATATAAGGATTTTGTGGCATAACTGGGTTAATCCAATATCAATTAAAAGATATTTGTTGTAATGAGATGAAAGTTTAATTAAGACATTTCATAAACTCGTCCAGACGTTCATTCCATCGTCAACAAATGGATGTAGTTGGAAGGGAAAGGTCATTTTTAGACGCGAACTTATCAAATAAAATTGAAATTTTAGAATGGGACAAACATTGGAATGTTGATTTCTAAATGTGAAGGATTTTTTCTTAATGGACTATTTTTTCAACTTTCATTTATTGTGGGATTGTTTCTGTTGAAGTCATAAAAATGTTCCCACCAGGTAAGCTTTCTCCCTTGTGTTAATATCCGATTATTCGTCGCACCCTAAGTCAAAGTCCGAGTTAGTTCCCGTATTGAACCAGTTACGTTTTGGCCTTTGACATATGCCAAATTTTTACAAACAAGATATACCTTATGACCCGAAGTTTCGAAATTATCGTTTTTCACAATCTTCGGGACA